CATTGACACCAGCGACACGGTCAGTAGCAGAGGGTAGCACTACCAAGATAGTCAGTGGCAGGGAGTTGATGACACCGGATCGGCAAGTAGGAGAGTGGTAACACCAGGAATGCGGACATTAGTGGAAGAGAGGCACCAGCGACACGGTGAGTAGCGGAATAGTGACACTACTGACACGGTTATTTATAGAGAAGTGGTAACATGGACACAGCTGGTAGCAGAGTAGTGACACCACTGATGTGTTAAGCGGCAGATGAGTGGTAGCATCGACACGGTTTGTAGCAGAGCAGTGATACCACACTAATATGGTTAGCAGCAGAGGGTGACACCACGGGTGAGGTCAGTAGCGGATAAATGGTAAAAGCGGCACGGTGAGTAGCAGGGCAGCGGTACCATCGACGGTCAGTAGCAGGGCGGCGGCACCATCGACGGTCAGTAGCAGAGCAGCAGCACCATCGACGCAGTCTGTAGCGAGCAACGGCACCATTGGGATGGTCAGCAGCAGATGAGTGCATCACCGACTTGGCCAGTAGCAGAGGAGTAACACCAGTGGTGTGGTCAGTAACGAAGGGGTGGCAATATCGGCACAGTCAGCAGTAAGAAGATGTTAGCGCCGACACGTTCAGTACCAGTGGGTATTACCCCTGATACGATCAGGAAAATAGGAGTGCGCGTCTGGAAACGCCGGAATCCATCGTTAAGAAAACACTTGTTGTCCAGATTACCTAATTAGTTTGTGAGCCGGCCTCTCTTCGTAGCTTTCGAAATGGCCAGTACCAGGTGGTTACCTGACTTAGAAACCGCTAGGGTCGAGGGATCCTGAGTACGAAGCGTGGGTGGATCACGCGATTCCTTTCAAGTCATCAACGTCCTTTAATGTAAGACGGATGAGCAATGTGAATTAGACAGATACTGAATTCCAGCCATGCAGTGTTGACGCATATCTCATGCATGCCAGTGTCTGATTCAGCTCCAGCGGAATAGACTCCGATTCGCAGCACATGATGTTTATCAAGCTTCTGATAATAAAGGCGTACAACACACTTGGATGGACACCATTTCTGACCCTGAAACAAAAACTTAGTACCTGGTATGGTTCCGGTTGACTCGAATTGGGTTGCAGCGGCCGAAACGGTGCGCCATTCATGGGCTGTAGAAGAGCCTGCATACAGCACTACAGACGACAAACCAGTGAAGAGGGAAATAACTCATGTCGACTTGAATTGGGTGCCAGAGGTCCAAACTATGAGCCGAATTATAGGCTGAGTAAGAGCCTGCATAGATCTTTACCAACAAGAAATTGGTGAAGACGGCAGAGAAGGGAATGGCGGACAGTGCAGCACTGCTGACCACCTGCAGCCGCATGGCTACTATGCTCCTTTAACATTGACCTATTGATTTCCTTTTATCGATATTATATTTCATTGATTTTCTGGAAATTTGATCACTCCACGTAAAAGAAGGCCAGACTCCAGCACTGCCTGTATAACAATTGTGTCATCTATCTCCGACCCAAACGGGCAGCAATTAACCGCACTTGGTCGACATGGTCGGACTGGACACGGCAATGTTTCAAAAGGCGTGATCGTTCAGTGGGGAAAAGCATGGCTACGCGCTCCATGGCGCGTTTTAAGCTTAGATACCGGGCAGATAAGATTGCAAGATTCCTCCGGGATTTCCTCAGCTGCATCATGCGTTTCGTCGGTACGTTACAGAACGCGAGAACTTCCGCCTCCCTGAGCACGTGACGGAAGATCAATAAAGACCCCGAAGCAGCAAAAAGTCGCAAAAGTTCCTCGCCGAAAAAAGCGTAACTTGGAGACCGACTGGCGACTCACAGCGCTGACCTGTCCGGTGGAATGTGGCCTCGCAAACAGACTCGGATCACGAGTGCGATCCTATTGATCCACGTGTCGGGTAGCGGTCCGTCCATTGGCCCGGAGGCACGCGAAACACCCCCACGACCCAGGGTATGCCGAGCGAGGGTGGGGGCCGAGCGCCGCCGCTATTGATTAAGAGGCTCGCTAACTGGCCTAGAACGAAACGCTACAGGGGTGGCATGCATGTGACCATCTCATGGAGCGGGCTGGAGCAGAGATCCCCAGTAAATGTGTGTGCATATGTAAAACCATGCTGGGCGTGACCACGCGCCGCTAATAAGCGCAACCGCTCACTCACCGGCACGCATAACGTCTGTGGTCTTCGACATCGTAACATCTCCTGCATTCCGGCGTTGACCGTGTGACCAGCGAGACACACAGTGCGTGCGTTCTGGCGGCGGTTTGGCGGGCGCGGTGGGAGAGGGCAGGCTGCCGACGAGGCCAATTACACACGCTGGGCCCGCCGACTGATGATGGGGGCCTTCAGTCACGCCCCCGACGGCGAGGTGCGGGTCAGGGGTGGGAGGCACGCTTTGGCAATAAGCCCTTAACCGAACGAGAGACGCCGTGTGTAGGCAGGCGATGATTTGATTTGAAATCGATCGGAAAGCACTGGATTGACAGGCTGTCAAAGGTGGTGTTAAACTCCAGGGCAGTGCGGGGCAGACAGGCGGTGGTTCGATATAAAATCGATCTGGAAAGAGTACTCCGGTTGCGTTGTGATGCTGCTTGCAGCCTAGACTCACGACACCTGGCCCAGTGGCCACTGACGCTTTAAGGCCCAGCATCCGTGCTCACGACGACATGCTCACGTCGGAAAGTTCGTCCTCACTGTCATCATCAGATCGTGATTACTGCACATTACGGTCTAACGGTAACATCAAACCGGTCTTAAATAACCAGCTGGGCCATTCGACTGAGCCTCAAACATTCTGCTAGCTGGTTGAGCTACGAGCGCAAGTGATGAAAAATTAATCATGTATATATATATATATATATATATATATATATATATATATAAAGTGCGCATAATAGCGTCGATGCAGTCGTCATGATAGACTACATGAGCGTGCGCCTAACAATGTGCCGCAGTAGTTTGCCAACCAGTGCTGTGTCGCTGAGCCTTCTTTTGCTAATTGCTGACCGTCGCACGCATCATGCAACGGCATTTCAGACAGCAGGGGATAATTGCATTCCATCATGAATCAATCATAGTGGGGGGCACGAGGTCACGCAATAAGTATACTGCTCTTTCGTCAGTTGTCCGTGACATGACAAGTGTCCTATGGTATATCACGAAATAAATTATGCAAACAGCTTATCCTGGTATTGACCGTCAGGCGTTTACAAGCAAGTTCTTTGAAATCGTACTTGCATGTTCAAGCGCGGGGTCTGGTCCGTGTTCGGGCAACATGGTCTGTCAGGTGTGTGTTTTGGAAGCGGCCGGTATGTTCGGTACGTGTGTGTAAAAGGGGATGGATGACACGTCCGGGCTGTGGCCCCGAGGGAGGATGTTATGTCTGGTTTGAGGCATCGGAGGGGATGCTGTGTTAGGCCGGGGCATCGGAGGAGGCTGTTATGTCTGGTCTGAGGCATCGGAAGGGATGCTGTGTTCGGTCGGGGCATCGGAGGGGATGCTGTGTTCGGTCTAGGCATCGGAGGAGGATGTTGTGTTTGGTCTGTGGTTTCGGGGGATTATATCCTATGCCGGTTGGATATCTGAGCCCGTAAAATGCCACGTCCCGTATGTGTTGCCTTGGACTACGCTATTACGTGCTGTCGTACCCGGAGAGGACATTTTCTTCCCGTTGTATCGGAGGAGCAGAAAATTCTGCCCCATTTATACAGCAGAATAGTACGATCCTCTGTGTCCAGAGCAGCGGGATGTTCGACTGGAGTCCTGCGTATCAGAGCAGCAGGTTGTTTGACCCCGGTTTTGTGCATCAGAAGAGCAGGATAATCGGCCCCGGTCCTGTGCATCAGGGCAGCAGGATGTTCGGCCCCAGTCCCGTGCATCAGAGGAGCAGGATGTTCGGCCCCAGTCCCGTGCATCAGAGGAGCAGGATGTCCGGTCCCGGTCCCGTGCATCAGAGGAGCAGGATGTTCAGTCCCGGTCCCGTGCATCAGAGGAGCAGGATGTTCAGTCCCGGTCCCGTGTATCAGAGGAGCAGGATGTTCGGCCCCAGCCCTGTGCATCAGAGGAGCAGGATAATCGGCCCCGGTCATGCGCATCAGAGCAGCGGGATGTTCGGCCCCGGTCCTGTGCATCAGAGCAGCAGGATGTTTGGCCCCGGTCCTGTGCACCAGAGTAGCAGGATGTTTTGGCCGGTCGGTGTGTGGTCGATAATGGCGCTGCTCCCACCCCAGTCGATCGCGCCGGGCTGGGAACGCACAGCAGACTGGACCGCCTTGAGGTCGCCAGTCCTCGGCACAAAACGTCCCTCCCGCCCCCTTCGTCTGGTGCAGATTACTGCGGTTCCGAAGCAAACTTTCTGCAGTCTTTGGTGCTGACGTCGGTTGCGTGTCAAGAACGCATGATCACGCACATGACGCATCCCTGAATGTACCCACAGAGGCGGAAATGCACGCGGTAGAATTGTTACGATGCCGGCACAGAGGGATCTACAAAACAGTCTTGGGCGTTGCGCGGGGCCTGGTATGAAGTCCAAACGAAAACGAGACATTGAGACTCGATTTCCTTCACATGCGCCACTATTAACACTTCATTTGTCAATAAGGCGGACAACTGTTGCGAACCCAACGCACGATTGTACCGCAGTGATAGTTAACAAGGGTGTGATTGCCAGTCCACCGCCGCCGCTCTATAGGTGTAGAGATCGCTGCGGCGTCACTGCTGATTTTATGGGATCATTTGATCACGTTTCAAGCATTTCAGTGTCAGGGTTGCCATTGTGGATGAGTTCATTGTTGATGACCAGCCAAACACAATTTGGATGCATCACCGATGGCCAAACTTTTCAAATAGACCGATGCCGCCTGGAATGGACGTATTCCCCGGGTGTGCAACAGCCCCAATGACCTGCTGCCCGTATCGTTTGACCCACATTCGTATCCCCACCACCGACGGCCGGCTTTGTTTGGCTACCGACAGGCGTCGCCATGACAACGGTGGCCGAGATGCCGGCCCGGTACGAGGAGGCCGCGGCGCCGGAGCAGGCGGCCACGGCGGCCTCGGCCGAGCGGGTCTCACCCCTGATGCGCGCCTGCCTGAGGGACGACGTGAATGAGGTGCAACGGATCCTAGGAAGCCAGGTGACGGGACCACGGGGACCGCTGGACCCCAGGGGACCATCGACTGGGCGGACCGCTATGCCCTGCTCGGCACCGAACCCCTTGACCACTTGATTGGACCACCTAATGAGTGGCCCGTTATCAAATGCTGCTATGGCGATAAGTGTCCTCTAGCGTAGCGTGACCGGCACTGGCCGCCCTCGATACAGAACCTGCATAGTTGATGATCCACTGGCATGTCCGTATCAACAGCACAATATATTTCGATAGCAAGCGGCAAATGCACATACAGCGCAGCCGACCTTAATCAAAGCCGGCCATGAACAGAGCCGCGCCCTAAGGTAGCCCCCCTATAGCCCCGTCCCGTGCTGACCGCCAGCCGGGGGCGGCTGAGCAGCTGGACGGGCACCGACGGACGCCGCTGCACCGCTGCGCGGACGCGTCAGGTGCTGGCTGCGCTGGCCTGCTGCTGGACGCTCGACCCGACCTGCTGGACGCCGCCGACGAGGACGGGCTGACGCCGCTGTTGCTGGCCGTCATCAGTGGGCAGCAGCCGCTGCTGACTCTGCTGCTGGAGCGGGGCGCTGACAAGGACTGGAGGGACCACGAGCGGCACTCGGCCGTCCACTGGGCCACAGGTCAGACACCCACGGCCGTGCACTGGGCCACAGGTCAGACAGATTGAGCCTCGGTCAGATATCGACGGTCGTTCTCTGGGCCACAGGTCAGACACCCGCGGCCGTCCACTGGGCCACAGGTCAGACAACCACAGCCGTCCACTAGGCCACAGGTCAGACACCCGCGGTCGTCCACTGGGCCACAGGTCAGACACACTGGACTGTGAATGTACATCAGGTACATGAACCTATATTGCACCACATTAGGCGCACTGGCTGCCCATTAGGCCACATATAAGGCACGCCATGACGCAAAGCAAACAGGCTGGATTCGGGGTCACAGATAGAGGCGCACTAGATCTTATCGTACATTATTCCACAGGTTATTTACACTCGCTCGCCCACTCGTTCGTTCACGCGAGACACCCACTAGTAAGATTTTTAATATCGAACAAATGGTTGACAAAAGAGCTCATGAGCTTCGTCATAAAGCATGACCGTGTCCTCATGTCACTGTGCTGACCCGGCCCCGACCGCCCACCATCGCCGGTAACACCACCCCGCTGCCGTGCGCGCGACAGTGTGCGGCGAGCTGGGCCTGCTGGACGTGCTGCTGGAGGCCGGCGCCAACGCGTCCACCCCGGACATCCACGGCGCTTACCCGATCCACTACGCCGCCCAGATGTGCGGCCCTAACTCAGGTGCGGAGGCGCCGCCCCACAGCGCTGTGTGGTGTGAGTGAGGAATGCCGCTGACCTGCAGCCGTCCACGCCACCCGTGCTGCTGACGCCCTGCAGTGCAGTGATCACTGGAGAGATGGACTTTCGCTCAGGCTTCCATGCATTCAGCGCAGGCGCTTGCCATACCTGTGACGAGGACTCGCTGCCGCATCAGCTCGGTTGGCACAAAGGATTACCGTGTCGTTTTGAGTGTAATGACGTGTATGTGTGCCGGAAGGCTTTGCCTTCACGGGTCTCGGAAGCTCTGATGACTTGGGCCTTTAGGAGACGGCTTACATTCTTCGCTCTCAGGCCGAAGTCCGTCGATTAAAACTGGGGCGAAACACGCGACGGCTGGATCCGGCCTCGCTGTCTGGTAAGCTGACGCCGCGGTCGTGCCATCAGAAATGGCAACGGACGTGCGCGTCGGCCTGCTGGCGCTGCGGCGGCTGCTGGCCGCGGGGGTGGACGTGCACGTGGTGGACCACGACGGCCGTCAGCCGCTGCTCTGGGCCGCCTCAGCCGGTGAGGGCAGGCGGCCGGCCACCGCTCTCACTGGCGGCCACGGCAACGGGTATTGATTGTGAATGACGTAAAGGTCAAATGGTGCCGTCTCCGCTTATTGAATGCTCTCCTTTGGATGGTTTCATCATGCGCTCGCAATTGCTTCCACGCGGTCTGTTTAGTACCCGCGCGTGGGGTTGTGTTCTACAGCGATGCTCGTCTTATATCCCTTTTATGAATATCTTACACTCTCACTTAGATATGGAAGTTGAAATTGCGGTGGTTGTGGTATGTTTCAAAGGACCTTTCCATGGAGAGGGCCTACGTGTAATGTACTTGAATGCATAATCAAATGATGTTTTGAAGAGCACTACAGGCCACAAGTACCGGTTATGCACGTGTGGAAATGCAATTAATTTTCCCAGCTATGAGTGTTGCCTTCACCGAAGGAATGTAGTCTTAGCCCCAGAAACAATAGGTAATTGCACAGTAGAACACGAGTCCACGGGATCAATGTGAGCGTGCAAAACGCGCCTATAGCTAAGGGTTTTCCCGGTGGCGCCCTCGGCTGTCTCCGACCTCCGCCGTCGAGCTTGAGCCAGCCGCTGACGGGCTGCCGTTACCCTGCAGAGACGCGGCCGTCAAAGACGTACTGTCCCTCAGGCAGCTCGGACGCGCTGGTCAGCCTGGTGAACGCCGGAGCCAGCGTGGCGGCCGCCGACAAGGACGGCCTCACCGGTGAGGCTGACCCGGCCCTGCCCTCTGGGCACGCAGCACGCGCGGGGCCGCCGCTGCGCCTGGCCCGTACGCACACCGGCGCGCGCTTACGCACGCTCGGGCCCGCGGGCGGACACACACTGAACACACTGACACGCGTGACACGCGACACACGCGTGCGGAGAAGCGCGAAGGAGAAGCACCGTTTGATGAATGGTCCTGCCGAGCACGACGCACGTTGTCAGTCCGAGTGACCGGTATGAATGCAAGACTTTACCGAAAGGTCAACAATGCTTTTGAACATTTCGTTACTGAAGGTGCCGTTCGGGTCTAATTACACGGACGGCTGTTGCTTTCCGCCCTCCTTTCAACCGTAACACGCGACCGCTATCGTGTATTTACCTCTTGTCTCTTCACGTCCGCTTACATCGTATATCACGCTCTAATAACGAACACAATGCCCTGCATGCACACGCTCACGAGTCTCGGCTGAATAACGCTGGCGCGTCTGTGTGCGGCGCCGGTGTACCTGCACCGAGCCGACGGCGCGCGCATCAGTGCGGCCCGACGCCCGCCTGCCGCAGCGCTGCACTGCGCGGCCAGCCGGGGACACACGGACTGCATCGACACCCTGGTCACGCTGTGCGGCGCCGACGTGGACGTGATGGACAGCAACGGCTGCACGGCCCTCTTCTACGCCGTCACGCTGGGCCACGCCGACTGCACCGAGCTACTGCTCCGGAGCGGCGCCGAGCCCAACCGACAGGACCGCAAGGGACGCACGTGAGCACTCTGGGATCGCAGGAACGCGCGTAAGGACCCTGGGACCGAAAGGGGCGTGCGTAAGGACCCTGGGGCCGAAAGGGGCGTGCATCCCACGCAAGTACCCTAAGAATGCAAGAGACGTGCATGAGAACCCGGGGATCGCAGAGGGCGCAAGTAAGCATCCAGTGACGACAACTGAGGCACCAAGTGGCCGGGGACCGCAAGGGAGGTACAGAAGTGCCAGGGTATCACATGGGAGACACGGGAGTGTTCGAGGACGCCAGGACTGCGGGGCGCTGGGGAGTGTCCGGGGACGCCAGGACTGCGGGGCGCTGGGGAGTGTTCGAGGACGCCAGGACTGCGGGGCGCTCGGGAGTGTTCGGGGACGCCAGGACTGCGGGGCGCTGGGGAGTGTTCGGGGACACCAGGACTGCGGGGCGCTCGGGAGTGTTCGGGGACACCAGGACTGCGGGGCGCTGGGGAGTGTTCGAGGACGCCAGGACTGCGGGGCGCTGGGGAGTGTTCGGGGACGCCAGGACTGCGGGGCGCTGTGGAGTGTTCGAGGACGCCAGGACTGCGGGGCGCTGGGGAGTGTTCGGGGACGCCAGGACTGCGGGGCGCTGGGGAGTGTTCGAGGACGCCAGGACTGCGGGGCGCTGGGGAGTGTTCGGGGACGCCAGGACTGCGGGGCGCGGGGGGGTGTTCGGGGACGTCAGGACCGCAGAGCGCTCGGGAGTGTCCGGGGACGCCAGGACCGCAGAGCGCTCGGGAGTGTCCGGGGACGTCAGGACCGCAGAGCGCTCGGGAGTGTCCGGGGACGCCAGGACCGCAGAGCGCTCGGGAGTGTCCGGGGACGTCAGGACTTCGGGGCGCTGGGGAGTATCCGGGAACGGCGTCAATATTGTCAGTACATGCCTATGTTAAAAGGGGCAGCAGCGACCCAAGGGACACAGGGAAATGCCTGGCGTAGCACCAGAACCGTAATAAATGCTCAATGAGGTAGGATGTGACTTGGGTCGCACATGGGTGACCACTAGCCAGGGACAGTAGGGTCACAAGCGACAACTTGATCTTTTTGCTCCATGTTGTAAACAAAAGAAAGCATGCTCATTCTAGTCATCGTTGCTTTCTCTTGCACAGCTGACCACCGCCGTCGTGTTCTTTAGGCCGGCCCACTGCGGCGCTGCGAAGGGCCAGATAGAGACGGTGAAGATGCTGGCTCGATACAGCGCCAGCCTGGGCATCCGCAACGTGAGGGGGGACCTGCCGCTTCACGAGGCCGTCCGGTCCGGCAGAAAGGAGCTGGTCAGGTCAGCTCAGGTCGGGCCAGCAGGGCGGCATAGACCCGTTCGTCAGGTCATGGCCTGGTGATCGTTCATCACCTACGCTGAGCCTTACGTGAATGCCGCTGGAAGTCATTTGTCTTGAAACTATGTTTTTTACAACCAACGTTACGACCAAGGAAAAGCGCCAAAGACCAAAGAACCCATTTCATCTATTTGTTTCCAAGGACGTACATGACATTTCGAGCTACCGTGCAGCGTTAGGTACGAACGGTTACGGTAGCTCTCCCACATTGCATGGGTTTTGACGTTGGCCCTGAAATTACCATCGTGAGCTGTCAGGTTACCGAATAACCATATGAGTGAAACCAGATCTCGCAAAGGCACAGTATAAACAAAAAGTGATTCAAATAGCGATGGAAATAAACAAAGCTGAGTGGCGAAAGAACCCGTGAGCATCCCTTTCGCATTGCTGCGAGCGTACATGAGGTTGCAAGGACAGGGGATGCGGCCGAAAGGAAGTAAGTCCGCAGAGTTACCGGTCGGAAAGACCACAACAGAAATACGATGCAAGTACTTATGTAAAGTTGATAAATTAAGAGACATTAACAAATAAATGGGCATGATGAAACTGAGATCCCTCGATAGCATTTTGCAGCCGCCATCGTCTATGTGTTTGGTAGATCTTAGCAAAACAGCAGATCAACAACTACACATACAAATATAGATGCCAGGTGGCCGCACTTACGCCGCTTTTTTTGCCGCACCATGTAGCCCGCCGCGCCGCAACGCGGTCCCACGCCATGCCTGTGCGGCGCGCGAGACCGAGGTCTCGTGTTCCGACCGAGCCGCCGTCCGCAGGTGGCTGCTGCAGCAGCGCCCGGAGTCGGTCAACCACGCCAACAACGAGGGCAGGTGTCCGCTGCATACGGCCGCCATGACCAACAACGTCGAGATGTGCAAGGTAATGCTCGGCAGGGTCCGGCACGTGGGGAGACATCTAGCGGAGAGATGGAGAAACAGGCCCACATTGGACCTCGCTGCGGTTTTCAGGTTGTTTGCGTGCAGACTGATAACAATGGAAGTGATCCGTTTCCATGAATGAGCCACGCTATCGCGCAGACAGGGTTTATTAAACGCGAATAGAGGCGCTGATCGACAGAATAGGCTAGATTACTCCCCAACGTGACAGGTGCCCATTGAAATCTTTGCATTGCGTGCTCCGGTGCTCAAGTACATAAGGCTCTTGTGTTGCATTAAACTATATTTATCGTTCTGGTTGATGACGTAGTCGTTTGCACGATCACCTCATGCACACGATGTACCACAAAGTCCATAAGAAGGGATAAAAGTGGCGTCGAAGTCGCCACTTTTATCACTGTTTAAGGTTTCATCACTGCTTGCAAAACAGCTTAATCACAGCATCTGTGTAGTAGGTTATCGAGCTACCTCAAGAAGCGCTCGTGCAGCCAAACTTTTGCAAATAGTGTCAGTAAGCCGCAGCTTCATGGCAGAATGGGAAGCCGGGGAGTTAAAGCCTCGTGCAGTGTGGGTTGGTGGGGTTCATGCAGACTCGCGACACGCAACCACGAGGGCACGCCGGACTCCGCCCATGGAAGATAATGTCGAGAAAGTCGTCTTCTCCTTTCGACTGGTTAGCGAGAGTTGACGGGATTCATCCCTATGTGTGTCTCCATCTGAGATGGGAGGACCAGACCAAGGCGACGGGGCGACGGGAAGATGTCCATCCTCTGCCTCATGTGCATGCCTGTGCGCGCTTCAGGTGCTGATGGACCTGCACGCCCAAGTGAACCCTCTGATGCGGTCGAGCACCGGCCAGCTGATGACACCCCTGGACTCGGCTCTGAGCAGGGGCAGCCGCAGCTGCGCCAAATACCTCCAGCTGCACGGAGGAGCGTCGGCCAGCGCACTCACAGACCTCAGGTCACCGCCTCAGGTCAACGACTCCGGGTAGGGGTCATCAAACTCTCCGCGGAGGGTGAAGTCTTAATCAGTTATCAGCGGCATTTTGAAATTGTCAGTTGAGTGAGAGTACGCGCAATTGGCGTTCAACCGCAAAGGTCTTGAGGTAAAATGTCATTAGTTCGCGCATATAAGTATATCAACATACTCACCAGCTTGCAGCTCTCATGTAAAAATGTTCGCGCCAGGCGTGCTTGCACCTATGCCAGTTGTTGGCATCAGTGTATTTTATGTGCATTATAAATCACACAAATTGGCGTCAGTGTAGCAGTTTCTAAGGCTTATAGTGAGCCATTGGGCTTTTCTTACAGTTTTGAAAGATCATTAAACTCGCAGGTCCGGTCGTACAGTGTATTCCGGTAGAATGTGGCTCTGCTCAGCGTGCCGTGCTGCGCGTGGCAACTGTCAATGTTCCCCATTAGCCCAACATGGCTTACCAAAACATCTTAAACTGCCAAGATGGCCAAATGGCGGGCGAAAATCGGACCCTTGTCTTGGCAACTAGGGATCACACCGAAAAGAAATCAGCACATTTCGGGGCGGCAGAAGACGGACAATCGCACTGACGATCCCGTGGGGCGGTGTGAGCGGCGGCGCACGTGAGCTCGTGCAGAGAAAAACCGACACGGTGGTTACGGGACGGAGGGATGGTGTCAGACTTCAACAGTCCCAGCAGACAACCCCATGAAACCAGCGGCGTGACCGAGGCGCATGCGCGTCAGGGTTGGCGTCAGACTTCAGCAGTCCCAGCAGACAACCCCATGCAACCAGCGGCGTGGACGAGGTGCATGCGCGTCAGCACATCACCCCGCAGCTCAACGCTGCCCGCCTCATAACGATGCCAACAAACGATCGGCAGGCTGCCAATATCGCGTCTTTTTCGAAACTGATCTTGCATCCGACAGGCTACCACCCAAACCAAGTAAGATGGAGACGTCAAAATGACACGGGCGTAAAACCCAACACATAGTGGCCAATGACCACCCGTAGTATTGGCACGCTTTGCAATGTTCAGGTCAGAATAGCCTAAGGTCCGAGCCGCTGCAAATTTGCGGATTTTGTGGGTGCAAAAACCCGCGCGCGATCGGCGATCTCCAACCATGAATTACCTGAACAGCCACGCTTCAGCCGAAGGTCGTCTGCGCGGCGGAAGTAACTATGCAGGAGTGTGACCGAGCACTCGGCACTCGCTGGTCGCAGCAACACTGGACCAAATGAACTCGGCTGAGGCAGCAGCATGAGATTGTCCTGCCACGCACAGCGTTTCCGGGTGCTGGTGGCATGCCCTGCCGAGCGCAACACATACGTTTGCTGACTGTCTCTCATATTGTGTGATATGTCAATAGGGGGGTCTGAGCCGAGACTGCCACGTCTGGTCGCCTCAGCATGTAATGAGTGAACTTCCCTCGAGACTGTTGGGGAAATCTTGTAATAACATATTTTAGAATCACCGAGTGTCACTGAATGTCTTTGTTTGAATCGGAGTGTGCGGCGTATAACGTCCCTAATCCATCAGCACCTGGGGTCTATCTACTCTCAGCCACGACCGCTTAGGGTCATAAGTGCTCCCTCCTTGGAAGATCCGTAGCACTTTGGGTAGCTGTGGTCAGTGTCAGCAAGGAAACATTAAGTTAACATCAGCACGTCACTAAATCACAGGTGGTGCTAAGAGCCACTGACATATTTTTAAGTGCTCAGGCCGCGTATCGTCCGCAATAATGGTCGAAAAGGTTTCACATACCTGAGGACCTTTGCACGGAATAGTTTTCGAAAGAAGAGTGTTACAAAACACACGACGCACGGAATAGTTTTTGGGAGGAAAGTAGAACAAGAAAAGTGACAGTGCACAAAAACAAAATTCCCAGAAAAAAAACACCAAGTGTTGAAGGTATTTTTGCGACATTTGTCCTTACTTTTGTTGGCTTACAACATGCAATCCATCCACAATGTTTACTCATTTCTTAGCAATGCGACATTCAGTTTCGATTCTCCATATATAATGACTCCAACAGGGGCACATGCATCATGCTCTATTTACAAAACCAAATCAGGCATTGCATAAAACTAACGCTGGGCGCAATTTATTTTTCGAACCTTTTTGTACATCGCACAAACATGGCCTCCAGTTACATTAAATCGTGATTGACCTCGATCGAAGCGGGTGATCAAGTCCTTTCCATGACCTTCAACGCAATTTGCTTCCTCCATGTGCACCAGTCACCACTAATGTCATAATGCGCTTCACCCTCGCGCTTTTGTAACGTCCTCTCCGCGTGCCCTCAAGCGACACGATGGTGAAGGAGGTGGCCGTGTTGTCGGCGGACACTCTGCCGCACCTGCTGACGCAAGGCCGGCCGCTGCTGCCGGCCATCACACGCCGCCCTAACGGCTCGGCAGCTCGCACACCAGGGAATGACGTCATCGGCCGCACCAGTGACGTCACCAGGCCGCCGACCGACAGCGAGGCGCAGACGGACCGACGTAGCACGGAGAACATGGGCGTACAGGTCAGCGCGGGTTCGGCAGTAGCTGCATGTCAGAACTGAGTGAATGGGATAAAATTATGTGAAAACTATGTAACGTTGGAAAAAGTGGAAACATTCAACTGCGTGAGGTGGGAATCGCTAATTATAACTGGGCGCCGATTTCCGTGGGGAACCCAAATTATTCACGACTAATGTTGGCTGAGGCGATTCACGCACGCCATGTTTACACCGAACCAATCAGTCTGACAGTGACGGTAATCGATCAAACGAGTCGAAACTATGAAGTTAAACCGTGACAGACCCCATTTTGTCGTCATCCACACGGTGTCCTGTTGTCTCCGGACGCCAGCTGCCGCCACAAGCATCCCCGGGCGGCCGGCAAGTGATCACGTCGCTGTCTCGCGCCTGCGCCGGTCGCGTGCTCGAGACGCTTCATTCTTCGCCAGGTGGAGATGCCGGAGCTGCAGCCGTCGGCGAGCGCGGCGGCCGGCAGCGGCACGGCGACGCCTCCGCGACGGCTGCGGCACAGGGAGCGGCGCCAGACGCAGGAGGTGCACATCCGCCACAACCATGACGGCGACGCGGCCTCTCCGGAGCAGCCGGCGCCGGACGCCGCGCCCCGCCGGCCGCGTCACACCAACACCCTGATCCGGGAGGAGAGCGAGGATGACGTGCACACTGTGGAGCTGGTACGCCGCCGACTGCGGCGAGAGCGCAACGAGCGCTACGTGGACGAGCGCTACGAGACGGACGAGGACGAGCGCCGTGGCGAGAACGAGGGACGAGGCCCGGCGGGGCAGCGACGTCGCGACGGCCGGGAGCGGGAGGAGGCCCGGCGCGGTCCCGCCGAGGGTGGCGAGGACGACCGCTGGCGCAGTGAGCCGACGCTTGGGCGTCGTTCCTCCGGTGAGGACGGCGAGGACCGGAAGGTCGGCAGGAGGAGGCACCGGCGCCACCGCCGAGGAGGCCACAGCAGCGATGAGTTTGAGGAGAGGTGGGGCTCGCAGCGCTCGGGCAGCATGGTCTCGGAGCGACCCCACCGCCATCGCCACCACCGCCAACGCTCCAGCGACGACTCTGAGGAGAGGCGGCGGTCCCGGCTTGCGGCGAGCGTGGCGTCGGAGCGTCCCCATCGCCGCCACCGCCGCCACCGTCACCACTCCAGCGACGAGTCGGCGGAGCGCACCCTGCGGGGGCCGCGCAGGGCGGGCAGCGTGGCGTCCGACCGTCCGCGCCGCTACCGCCACCGCCGCCGCTCCAGCGAGGACTCGGAGGAGCGCTGGCGCTCGCGCCGCTCCGGCAGCGTGATGTCAGAACGGCCGCGGCGCCGCCGCCGCCACGACCGCAGCTCCGAGGAGCGCGCCTGGCTGCGGGAGGGCGGGCGCCGCCAGTCGCCGCCCTCGGACCGACACCGCAGCCGGCGGCGGGCCGAGGAGCGCGGCGAGTGGCGCGGCAGGGGACGGCGGCGGCACGCCGGCACGCCGCTCCACTCCGAGTCAGACTCGGAGTCGCTGAGCTCGTGGCGCTCCGACCGGCCGTCGGCCGACGCGGAGGCGGCGGGTGGCCCGTCGGGCTTGAGCGAGACGCACCCGGACCCGGCCAAGGACAGGACAAAGACAGAGCAGGGCGAGCGTAAGGTGAGCGCCGGCGAGAAGGAGGTGTCCGTACGGACCGACTCCGGCATCGCCAGCGAGGAGCAGACGGTCAGACGGCACGCGGAGCAGGGGCTGCGCGCGATAGTGGAGGCTCAGGAGAAGACGGTGCCGAGCGCAGATGGCGATCATGACACTGACATGGGTAAGGGTGAGGTAGTGTTCACTGTGGCTGAAGTGCATACGAAAACGAGTTACAATCAAAAGTACATTAACCATGTGGGAAAAAGTGGCAGTGATGTTTCATTAATTCCAAATCATGAATCACTCGAAAGTGAATTTGGCGTGGTTAATGACAAACCATCACTGAACGGTATCGAAGGTAATCAAGATATTGTCAAGCAGCGGCGAAAGGGTAGCCCAGACCACACAGATGGCCCGACACCACCAGCGGAGCAGCGCAGCATAGAAAAACATGGCCCCCATGATCTGGAGCTAGATCAGAGCAAGAGCCCCGTTTCTCCATCTGTACCAGCCGCGGATAGTGTACCCTCCCAGACCTCCCCTCGCAGCCCCCACGCCGAAGCAGACCTCGATCAGGCCAGGTCGGCCGCGCGGAAGGACGGACCGGTGCCCACCAGCCCGTCGGGTCCCCAGCACACCGGCTCTCCGCCTGACGCCCTGCCCAGTTCGCGAGTGAGGGGCCCGGGCCAGCCTGAGGCCGCCGGCCGCCGTTCCCGGCTCCCGGTGCCGGTGGAGGGGACGGCTGCCGGACCCGGCCGGCAGCGAGATCCAGTTGGGCCCCAGCGAAGGGGTCCAACTGGGTCCGGGGAACAGGATCGAAAGAAGCCCGGGCAACGAGAACCAAACGGACAGCTGCCACGGGACACAGATGGGTCCAAACTTCGGGGCTC